CACTTATTTGTGCCAGCTCTAATTATTCCACCCCATTCACTCAATAAGATTAAGTATGGGCTGACCCAAAACGTTTTTCTGCCTGTGAAGAAGGGCACAGTGGCACTCCTTTCTTGTCCAGTGTACAGAAGGTGGCTGGACTGGGAGTTCCATCTTACTTCAGCACTGGTGATAACAGAATCTCTTCTAAAACACTTGGGGCATCAGAATTCTTCAAGGCACCCACAAGAAGTTGTGTGGCAAAAGGAAACAGCTGTGGAGTCCAGAAATAACATCTTGAGACATTGGTGCCTTCTTTAGCATCTGTTGTCTGAGACAATTGCCTCATTATGCTCAGCTGTAAGACCAGCCCTGAGGTGAAGCTTTGGAGAGAGAAATAATCATGATTCTCATGATGCAATTGGTATGTGATTAGAAACCAGAGCTCCCTTGTCAGCTTTCTTGTAGCATGGACTTTCCTTGCCTACAAGTGTTTCAAATTAGCTTGCTTTTGTTTTGTGATTGGCCATTGGGAGGCACGCATCGACTTCATTTGCAAATCTTGATTGCTTGTCATGGGGTTTTCAAGGAACTGTGTGACTGAAGGGAAAAGGTTTCCTCAGCTTCTGTCTGCAAAGCCAGTCTCTTATCTGTTTTGACCTTCAGGGGTTGAGGACAAGCAGCAGGTTTCACTTTGATTCCCACCTAAAAGAAGGCTGATAATTAATTCAGAAGAAGGCAAAGCAAAACTGATTATCTTGGAGAATCCTGATTGTGTTGAAGGTGATCGTCCCCTCTCAAGGCCCCAAAACTGAATGGTTCCACCCTCTGTCATCTACAAAGCTTTGAGGAGAAAACGCATCCCACCTGCACCATAATGGTGGACATTATGGCACCATAATGGTGGGCATTATATTAGTAACAAAAATAACCGTTGAATTATAAACAACTCTTCCCTCTCTCATACGGCTTTGGCTAATAAGGATCTTTGCAGGGCAGCGAGCAGATAAAATAAATCATCATTCTGTTAGCAAAGCTTGAAATAGCTGTGGAAATGAGCTAAATAGGCATGTGTCTAGCTGTGATTCTGCCATAGTTTCTCCCTCCTCTGTTTGAAGCTCTTACTATAATCTGGGCATTGTGCGACACCTTTGTGTCAGTGGTGTGGAGGCTGTTCACTGAGATCCTGCAGCCTCTTTTGATTGATGCTGGCTGAGTAAAACCAAATCCCTTCTTTGCTTGTCAAGACATTCAGTCAGAAAGAAAAGAGAAAAGTCCCTTTAGAAACAGAAATTAATAGAATTAGCAACAGATGCTGAAACAGCAAAAATCTGATGCCAGTTGACATTCCCCTACCCCTTCTGACTCTCTTTCTCTCCCCAAAACCATTTAGAAAACTAATCTGGGTGCCAGTTGGTATTTCTGAAAACATATGTATACAAGATGTCACTGCCACAGTCTGTTCCACTTTTGGACTGACACTCATATTTTATTGCAAATACTTCAGCACACTTTTGTTCAAAGGCATGTTTTGCCAGGTAAACTACGTGAATACCATCTGGCCAAATGCAAGAGAAACCTCATGACTCTTTTACTAGATTCTGGCTGCAACGAACTCATGATGTGGCTCTAGCTCAAAATTTTCTTGGACTATTTATATCCCTTGCTCATGGCTTCTAAGAACCCTGTACAAGCCCCACTCCTTTGGCAAAACATTTAGATGACCATAACGTCAGTTGCTTGAGCTAGTCACCCAATTCCAGCTTGTTCTGGGACTACTCTATTTGGAACTTTGTCCTGCCAGATGATACCAAAAATGTGTTGGAGGCAACACATATTGTACTCGTTCAGCTTCCTCTCCTGCCGTGCACAAAGGCTCCAGGACTCGCTGCAGTACAGGAGTGTGCTCAGGACGCAGGCTCTATAGACCTGGATCTTGGTATATGCCGTCAGCTTCTTATTAAGCCATACTCTCTTTGTGAGTCTAGAGAACATGGTAGCTGTTTTCCCAATGCGTGTATCCAGCTCGACATCTAGGGAGAGAGTGTCAGAGATTGTTGAGCCAAGGTACACAAATTCATGAACAACCTGCAATTCTTGTGTGTGAAGATAGTAATAGAGGGATGTGAGTCCACACCCTGGCCCATGACTTGTGTTTTCTTCAGGCTGATTGTCAGTACAAAGTCATGACAGGCCTTGCTAAAATGATTCATGTTTTGTTGGAGGTCTTCAGCAGAGTTGGCAACAATGGCTGCGTCATCGGCGAAGAGGAAGTCCCGCATACATTTCAGCTGGACTTTGGTCTTTGCTCTCAATCTAGAGAGATTAAAGAGCTTTCCATCTGATCTAGTCCGGAGATAGACACCTTCTGTTGCAGTTCCAAAGGCCTGCTTCAGCATGACAGCAAAGAAGATCTCAAACAGGGTCGGCACGAGGACACAGCCTTGTTTTACTCCGCTTCGGATGTCAAAGAGATCTGATGCTGAGCCATCAAAAACTACAGTGCCCTTCATTTCCTCATGAAAGGACCCGATGATGTTAAGGAGTTGAGGTGGACATCCAATCTTGGGAAGTATTTTAAAAAGGCCGTCCGTGCTAACCAAGTCAAAGGTCTTTTTGAGATATATGGAGACCACAAAGAGTGGCTGTTATTGTTCCCCGCATTTCTCCTGCAACTGTCTGAGGGAAAATACCATGTCGGTGGTGGATCTATTAGCTCAAAATCCACACTGTGATTCTGGATAGACTCTGTCTGCAAGTACCTGGAGTCTCTTCAGCACAACACGGGCCAGCAGCTTCCCTACAACGCTGAGAAGCGAGATACCACAGTAGTTATTGCAGTTGCCCTTGTCGCCTTTGTTCTTATACAATGTGACGATGTTTGCATCCTTCATGTCCTGTGGTACTCCACCTTCCCTCCAGCAAAGACAAATATATACAGGATAGAGGGTGATTTCTGGATATACTGTTACAGTGGTGCCTCGCTTAACGGGCGCTCCATTTAGCAACGAAATTGCTTAGCGATGACTTTTTCGGAGCATTTTTGCCCTTCGTTTAGCGATGGTCCCTATGGGCGATTTTCGCTTAGCGATGGTTGGGACCATGCTTCGCATAGCGAT